CCATCCATCCACCCATTCATCCATCCTCCCACCTACCCATCTAAGGTGTTAGAGTACTAAGATTCATTCTGGATGCTTGGGATTTAGAATCTATTAGGTCACGGCCTTTTCTCTCAGGAGTGCACCGCCCACTTGGGAAAACAGGAGGTAGGAACTCAAAGTTCCTTTCAGTTCCAGCATCCCGGGAATCTACGACCTGTAACCAGGCTATTGTTAGGCAGTAGGTAGATGCCTGAGGTCTTAGCAAAGGGCTCATCTTCGTCTACCCAGGGCCACCAGTGGCTGGAGCAGCTCCTCCTCACCAGCTCAGCTGAGGCTCTGAAATCCCCTCTTACTTCTAAGTTGGTGTGTGGCTCTTGCTTAGGGGAGGTGTGAGGAAAGGCACGTGACTCCCAGAAACATGGAGGCGATGCAACACCTGCTCTCCCTCTTCCTGTGAAAATCCGTAAAGCCCAGGGAAAGGTGAGCCAGGGAGCAGCTTCCATTTCTACTCTCCCCGGGTTTGTATCTCCCTGTCTCCAAAATCTCACTGCACTCTTTCCTCCTTCCATCTCCATCTCTCCTATCTGTCCTCTCTTCTGCCCTCCATGTTCTCCCTGGTTCCTCCTTTCCTTTCTCTTATTCCTTATCAGTTTCCACTAAGTGGTGGGACACATGAAGTTCAAATTCTGGGCCACTTTTGTGGGACTTGGGCAAATCATGGCAGTTCTCAGACCGGGGCCCTTTTCTAAAACCACGGCTCACAGAGGACAAAGCCCCGGGCACCTGTGCCTGGCTGCAAGAGCAGCTCTTCCTCATGCTCCCCAATTTCCTTCCCTGCTTCCTCCCACCCCCTTCATATTTTTTTCTTCTGCCCTTCTCCTTTTGAGACCATAGACAAATTGAGTGCGGAATTACATAATTTTTTGGTTCTAATTCTCACCTACAAAATCAACACCTCCAAACAGAATCTCACTAAAGGCACAAGGGTTGCCAAATATTCTGTGGATTTGTTCCCTCAGTCCTTTTCCTAGCCCCACTCTCCCACCCAATCCTGGGCTAGCTGGAAGGGTGACAGAGAGGACAGAAGAAACACCAAGAACAGAGGAGTTTAAGAGGGGCCTCCGGAAGGAATCACTCTCCCAGGAAGCCCCCCTCCTGCTCACCGATGTGTCCTCAGAACATGAGGCAATGATGTTATCGATGAAGGGGTTCCACTTGATGTCCAGGACATTACCCTGATGACCGCAGACCTTGGGGTAGTTGGGTTCAATCCTGCCAGTCTGCCGAGAAGGAAGAAAGGGTGAGAGAAGGAAAAAAGGGGGTTAGTTCTGAGGTCCCAGGGTAGCCCAGCAAAAACAACCTATATTCTGGGCCTCTGATCTGTACTGGGAGGCCCTTGAAGACCCACAAAATCTTGTCTTTGGGTCCCTGCATCAAACTGGACCAAAATGCTCTGAGGTTGCATCCTCCCTAACACTGAATGGTGGGAGAGGTACCCAGCAAAACTGTGGGGGTGATGAGTCACTGATGGCACACACCTATGTCTATATTAATAAAAAGTGTCCCTGCATTAAGTAAAACAACTTAAAGTTAAGATAGTACTGTCCCCCTGAGGAGCCAAGCCCGTGGTAGCTGCACGGAGCACGTACACCCAGACACCAGGGCCGTTTCCCCACTGCTGTGGCATGCTATAGTCAGCTTTGGACCAGGAGGGGGCCTGAGTCTCCACAGAGGTTATTCCACCTGAGAAGTGTACAGAGCTGCCCAGATGTGGTGTGTGTGTGCTGTGTGTGCACACAGTATGGTCAACAACTGCACACAGTACGGTCTTTGGAGTCACACAGGCTGAAGTCTGAGCCAGAGCTCTGCCACCATCACTTAGCTGTGTGGTTTTGGGTAAGTCGATGAACCTCTCTGAGTCACAGTTTCCTCATTTCTGAAATGAGGGTACTGACACCTACCTCTTAGGGTCGTTGTAAAGAATGACTGGGCTGAATATTGTACCCAGGTGGAAATGATGATTACAGTGACTTCTCAGTTGATGACAGGAATACTGTCCTAGAGGTCTGACAACACTTCCTCCAGGAAGGCTTCCTGACTTTTTAGTGGAGGAAGAGTGGCTCCTCTGTGTGCTCACAGCACTCTGTGTTATCCTTTATTCAAGTGACCATCACATGTAATTGTAGTGTTTCCATTTATTTGTGAGCAACTGAGTCCAGGGCCTGTGTTTTCCTTGCCTCTGAGTGTCCAGCCCCTCAGCAGGCCGGCACACAGTAGGTACTGAGAGGCATCTGTGAGGAGATGTGTTTGTGCAAGAGGAAGCCCATGCTAGTGGCCTTGCTAACAGTGGCCCGCTGTCAGAGGGCTTCACGGCAGGGCGTACCTCACGCCGCTGGGTTCCTCAATAATGACGACACCTAGAACCGTTTCTGCCACGCCCCGGCTAATGTGTCTTTATTTCACCAGAGTGATGGGCCAACAGTCACTCAGAGCGTATGTCCCGCTGCAACCTCGTCCCTTCCCTTCCTGCCATCAGCTCATTTTCCAGCTCCTTTGATTGTTCTGGGACACAGTGATGGCAGAATGGGTGGAGAATAAATGACCTAAGAGAAAATGGCGGCGAGGAAGGAGGCAGAGAAAGCCGAAGAAAGCCTCAGAGGTTGTGCTCAGGGATATGCCACCGTCAGTGCACTCCCTGGGGAAACTGGAGGGTGGGTGGGGTGAATTGGAGAGTGCTGCTGTCGGCTGGGCATGGGATGCCCTTAACCATCTGTGAGGGATGCAATTCGTTTGGGTTGTTGGCCTATGTTGCTTTAAATGAGACTAAGTGGAGACTCAGTCACGTATGAGCTGCATCTACAAGGGCTGCACATTATCTCCTTTAACACAACACTCCTATGACTTAGGCGTGAGGAAGTGAACGCCCAGAAAGGTTAAGTAATATGCCCAAGGTTACCCAGTGGAAGGCAAGCTGGGGTCCCCACACAGGGATGACCCCAGAAGTTGAGCTTTCAGGAACCCCCTTTCTTGCTGTTGGTCAGCTCCCCCTCTCCAGCTCCAACCTCCCTGGCAGGCAGGCCTACTTCCTTTTCGACAGAGCCACTTCCTACATCTGACCTCAGAGCCTGAACTAGAGTGACCTTGATCAAAGCGCACTGCAGTAAGCGCCTGGCACCCACTCCAGCCCAGGCAGGTCTGAGGGACACCGATCAGTCAATAAGGAGCCATCCGATCACAGCAACTTCTGGCCAGCAGCTGGTGGGTGATGCACCAGAACAGGTTAAGTGGTATCACTGGAGACTATTCAGAATGGGAAGAGGGCAGAGCCCTGTGCTAGGAAGGAAATAACTCTTTTTTTCAAAGATTTTTTAAAAATGTATTTATGCATACACAACTGGGGTACAGGCCAGAGGTGCAGGGGCGGTGAGAGGATTCACCAGGACAGAGTGGGAAGCAGAACAGGCAGATCTACAAAGTACACTGCTGAGGGGAGCAGCGGGTGGGTCAGGAGAGGTCTGCCACGCTATGTGGGTCACCTCCAGGGCAGGCGGGGATCGAACTTATATGGAAGTGGCTTTAGCTTCTTAGCGCTGTGCTTAACCTGCTGCGCCACCAGGGAGGGCCAAATTAACTTTTTAAAGCAGAGAGTGATCTTGATGAAATTCATACTTCCAAGTAGACCTCTCTGTACTAAATGGATGATTCCTAGTGAGATGGGTGACTATGATTATCATTGCTTATGTGAATGGTGACCCCTAGAGTTGGGCTACGACAGACCTGCCTGGCTCTCTGGGACAAACCTGAAGGCAAGGGCCCCCTTTCAATCTGATGGCTCTGGTTTTCCTGATTCATGCAGTAGGGTCCACATAAAATGTTCCAAAGACAAATTCCACTGCTGTGAAGAATTTGAAAAATCTCTGTCACACACAGAAATCAAGCAAATTAATAATTTCCTAGAATTAGTAATTCTAGGGGAAAAGTACTAGTAATCAAAAGCCTGAATATTTACTTAAACAAAAGTTACATTATAATATACTAGGACGACCGAGGCAGAGGAAGTGTGTGTATAGTAAGAGAAAGAGAAAACAGGAAGAGCCAGATCCACATCTTCCATAACGGGAAGCCAAAAGACAATGTCTAAGATTTTTAAAAATCTAGGCATAGCAGTGAAAGTATGTAATTAAGAAATACAGAGACGTGTGCAAAGTAAATAGTTAAACACAATGAAACAGTCTGAAAAGGTCGGGTCTGAAAAGGTCGCTACCAGAGAGCAGGAAGTGGGGGTTAAGCAAAGTGGCACAGGACTGAAGTTATCACCTGTGGCTGCCCATAAATATTTAAAAACTAGTGGTGTGTGTGTGGGGGGGGCGAGGGATGTCTCCAATTTGCAACATTGCCAATATCAGGGGTGTGAACATCCCCCAACCCCAAAGACTAATTTCAAACTTGTGGATGTCAGCAAAAGTAGAGTTAGAAGAGACTCGCAATAGCAGAGATCATAATGTAACATTTAGAGATATAATAGATGCAAATCACTTCAAGAACACAGTAAAATGTAGCACAATCACTAGACAATGCAGAGTTTTTAATATTTAGTACCTGTTTTTTGAATATGACTCAATTAATTGAAAGTTTGTGTAACCTTAATTTTTAATAATGGCCATCTCTAACAGACGTCTTGCAAAACTCCTCAGAATGGAACAATAGGCCCTTCTGAGCTCCAGTCAACCCCAGCACACCCTCGGAGTACGACACGCCTCGCGGAACTATCAGCCTTCATGTGCGCAATTACTACTGGGACTGACCCCAACATGAAAGAACTAACAAATAAAACGCAAGTACCAGGTGTTCTAAAGTAAGCTTGTTCTGAAATTTTTTTAAATGTGAACACTCATCCCCTAGCCCCCGCAAATGCCTGTTTTCTGTTCCCATTTCACTATGGGGGTGTGAGCAGAGACCAATCCCAGAATGGGTTCTTAACTGGCACCGAGTCCTGCCTCTCATACATGAGCTCACTCCCATGCCAACACTGACAGCTATTACATATAGTATCATATTAATGTTATCGTAACATTATCAAGCATATATTAACCAATTAAATCACCTATAATCCTCACAGCAACATCTTACAGCTGAGAAAACAGGATAAGAGAGCTTCTAAGGAGGGAAGTCCGGGTTTTGCCTTTCCTGACTTACAAAATCACTGACTGAGACGGTCCCTTCACAGACTTGCCCCAGTGGTTGGTTTCTCAGGGGCCCCTGGGTCTAAACTGCCATCTGCTCCTTAACCTCAAAGAACTTCAGCTTCCACAGAACTGGGCAGAGAACTCACTGCATGGGGCGGGGTGGGGAAAGCTGGTGTTTGGAGCCAGTGTCCTGCAATCACTAGGGAAATCTTCACATGCTCTTGGTGCAGTCTTACGCTGGAGTGTCAAGGGGCAAACCCCACACGGTCCCTGGGACAGGCCTTCCATCTCAAACCTTGGGTGCCACTATGACCCAAGTCTTTTTCAGTAAAGATTTATTTATTTATTCGTACAGAACTGGGGTACAGGCCAGAGGTGTAGGGGCAGTGAGAGGCTTCACTGGAGAGAGTGAGGAGCACAATAGGCTGACTGACGAAGTACACTGCTGAGGGGAGCAGCAGGTGAGACAGGAGAGGTCTGCCGCGCCATGTGGTCACCTCCAAGGCGGGGGATCAAACTTGCACTGAAGCGGCTGCGGCTCCCTTGCAGTGCTGCGTCTTAACCCATTGCGCCACCAGGGAGGTCCTGCAATCCAAGTCTTTTTTTTTTTTTTAATTAAGATTTATTTATTTATTCATACAGAACTGGGGTACAGGCCAGAGATGCGGCGGGTGAGAGGATTCACCAGAGACAGAGTGGGAAGCAGAGCAAGCAGATCGAAAAAGACCACTGCTGAGGGGAGCAGCAGGTGAGACAGGAGAGGTCTGCCGCGCCATGTGGTCACCTCCAAGGCGGGGGATCAAACTTGCACTGAAGCGGCTGCGGCTCCCTTGCAGTGCTGCGTCTTAACCCATTGCGCCACCAGGGAGGGCCCAACAACCCGAGTCTTTTTAAAGACAGAGCTGTGCTGGGAGACAGGGTGTCTTGCAGATGTACCCTATGATGCATCCTATGTACCAAAAGACAGGACGGCGGGGCTGGGGTAGGCCTCTGTTCAGGGTGGGAGGGAGTAGGAAGCAGGCCAGCTTCCCACAGACCCTCCTTTAAAGGTCCTCACTCTCTAACCAGTAATTCCTCTTTGGGTATTCATCCCT